CATGCGCTAAGGGCTTTTAAGAAGGTTGATCTGAAGGATCACATGGCTCCTTACGGGCAGGATGAGTTAGAGCTACTGGAGGCATCTGGCCAGGACTCACTCGAGCACTTCTACATTAATAATATGGACAAGGGACTCATGCAGGCATTTGTAGAGAGGTAGCAGCCGGAGACGAATAGTTTCCACATGCCTTGGGGTGAGATGACGATCACCTTGCATGATGTTGCGTTCATCTTGCGTTTGCATATCGACGGTCTATCAGTCTACGGTGATTTTGACGAGGAGAGGCCTATGTGTGAGATGTTGCTCGACAATAGTGGGATAAAATGGTCGGAGTTTGTTCAGCGTGTGCTCAATCGGTCTCGGTCTTGTCGGCAGAATGTGGTAGGGTTTTTGACGTTTCTGATCGGTATGGCTTTGTTCCCCAACCGGAGTATAGACAGGTTCAAGCCAACGTGGATGAGATATTACTACGATTTTGAGCACGTCGGCGAGTATGATTGGGGTTCAGCTGTCTTGGCTCATTTTTACGACAATTGGACTTGGCTAGTAAGGTCCACGTGAAGGGGTTACAGGGATGCACATTATTGCTCCAGATATTCTACTGTAATATATTTTTAATGTAATATATTATAATTTATTAGTATATATATAGCATTAGTTAGTATAACTTTAGTACTAATATAATATAATTTTAATTTATTATATTTTTAATTTAATATATTATAACTTATTAGTATATAATATAATATATTTTAATATATTATGTTAATAATGTAGTATTAGTTAGTATAAGTTAGGTACTAATATAATATAATTTTAATTTATTATATTTTTAGTTTTGATATATTATAACTTATTAGTATATTATATAATATATTTTAGTATATTATGTTAATAATATAGTATTAGTCAGTATAACTTAGTACTAATATAATATAATTTTAATTTATTATATTTTTAGTTTTGATATATTATAACTTATTAGTATATAATATAATATATTTTAATATATTACGTTAATAATGTAGTATTAGTTAGTATAACTTAAGTACTAATATAATATAATTTTCATTTATTATATTTTTAATTTGATATATTATAACTTATTAGTATATAATATAATATATTTTAATATATTATGTTAATAATGTAGTATTAGTTAGTATAACTTAGGTATATATTTTCAGTTATTTATAGTGCTGGATTTATGAGTACTTCTGCCCTTTGCGAGCATCTATTAATCCGACTTATAGAGATGCAACCTCATTTCCTGAAATGGAAACCACGCAAGGGCATTTCCGAATTGATATCGGTCCGAAGGATGCTCGATGATATGCAGGTCGATCATGTATGTATTTTAATTTCTTGACTTATTTATTTATTTTTCCGTTGATGTATTTTTTATTTATTACGTAAATATAATTGTACAGATTGACTGGATGCCTTACGGTCCGCACGTGCATAGACGCGTTCCGCATACATTGTATTAAGGATGTATACAGTTTATGGAGACTATCGAGCCGTATTTGTCGGATCGCGTCCTACGGCAGTTCGGCTTTAGACAGACCATACCACACTGCTACATTAGTCTAGAGAGCCATGCCTACGTGGTCCGATTAGAGGTCAGTCATACGAGCTATGGTACGATGCTCCAGGCGAGGAGTGGACGAACCTGGCTAGCAACTCGATTACAATGGTGGGTAGGACATTAGCCTAGCCGCCGTGGTATACTGTTTCTCGGTATATGGACTGGTACGTGCTTCACACGCATCAGTACGTCATCAACAGTGATCCAGTGCCACAGGGACCACCAGCCGCCGTATGTCTGCCTCCTATTCAACCGGACTTCTATAACATTGTACGTATCATCAACCGTACATGCACGAGATACCCGAGCATCTCCGTGTGCACTTACAGCCCCGTGTGGAGCCACACACCCGTTTTTGCGGTTTACCCTCACCTCAGACTGGAGATTCCGACGACGACGATTTTATGGAGATGCCACCACCGCGTCGGCGACCTGATGGGACGAGTGGGGCTGGGAGCACCCGATGAGGTATATGGGTAGACAGTAGATCGTTGATCCGTTACTTTGACATTTTATTTGTTATTTTTCAAATTTCGGGTTTGGATTTGCTACTTTTAGACTATTATTTTCCGAAAATTCTTATGTTTTGGTACACTTTTATTTTCGGTTTGACTATTATTTATGTTTTGGTTTGACCTTTCAATTATGTTATTTATTTAAGTTGCGATAAATAAATAAAAAATACTACAGGGTTCAAATATATACCAACTAAAATAAAATATTACAAGGTTCAAATACATACCAAGTAAAATAAAATACATACCAAGTAAATAGTACACAACATCATATACTACAAGGTTCAAATACATACCAATTAAAATATACTACAAAGTTCAAATACATACCAAGTAAATAGTACACAACATCATTTCATAACAACTAAATAGTACACAATATCATAAAGTTAAAAAGCCTATTCCAACTGAGATAGACGACGCCACATATATAGGCGTTCTTCGAACATTTCCGACAAGTGGGCAAGATTTGCGGGTCTCTAATAGGTCGCCACTGTGGAGTGGTGGGTGGTAGAGGACAATTAACTGGTAACTGGATAAGGACATAATGGTTTCCTAACAACACCATATGGATCATATGAGACAATTCACCCGGACCTACTAGAGGTAAGTAGGTCGTACTTCCACCGACGGAGTATAACACCAAAGCCACATTGTATTTCGTCGCTATCAACATTCCTATATCCGGAAATAACATCCATTTGTCCGGACTACAAGGTCCTTGTTGCCAATCACATCTTGCAATCCATCGGATGACTTCATCTTGGCCATTTTGCGATGCGTACGTACTTAATCGCTCGTACATATCAGCAATTAAATCTCTTCTCACACGACTCCCTCTGTGTTGATCTCGGAACAACGCTTCTGCAACACATATGTACCCACAATTTCCATCCGCCACAACATTAACATACGACGCAATAGATCCTGTCACAAAACCTGGGATGTAAGATCTGAAATTGAGCTCCTCGCTCGGTTCCTTTCAAGGTCTCGGCATACGATTCTGATTGGTAGTAGATTCATCACTTGATCTAATTCCCCTGTATCCAGAATCAAGCTGATATTGAATGGTGTTCACAGCGCCGGTAGAAGCACTAATCCAACCCTTCGACGAATTGTGAGCACTTTCCACCCTATTGATAGGCATAAAAATAACAACTAAAAACTAAAAACACCAACAATATATTATAAAATACATGCCGAAAATGAAACCGAAAATACCTATTAGTCGACGTATTCCCAAAATGCAAAATCTTAGTAGTCCATGCTTTGATGAATTTTTGCTTGTATATCAGCCAAGTATCGTTAAGGTATGATATCAGTTTGGGGTAACAACCATAGCGTCTAACCATTTCCTCGTAATTTTCATAGTAATCTTCTTCTGTTTTTACTAACGTTGCCCAATGTTCGCGCCGAAATATAACCCCGTGTTTACTACTTCCAATAAATTTCGATGCATTTTTTTCCACATTTCTATTAATGTGAAACAGACGCAAGAAATGTGCATAATCTGGAAAAATTTGGGGCATTGCTTAAATGAGTCCCCATTCACGATCCGTCAATATCACATCAGGTACCAGCCCGCCCAATGCACATTTCAAAGAACTCATAGCCCATGCATATGTGCTTGTATCTTCATGGGACATGAAAAGCAACATCAATTGTAAAATTGTAACCAACAGGGGTAATCCCAACTATTTCCAGAAGTGGCATCTCATACCTATATAAAATATTTTTAAGCCTCAAAACATAAATATCAAATGCAATCAATGTACAATAACCCAATACTAAATATTAAATAACTACATACGTATTGGTTTTGTAAGTGCAGTCCATCAACATAACGTGAGAAAATAACCGCAAAAGTTTCAGTGAAATAGGAGCGGCAAACATCAAATCAGTAAGTGTATCACCAGCTTCATTACTTCGATACCAATATTCATATCCAATTTCTTGAAGGTTCAACATCACGTGTTGTATCACAGTTCTCCCCGCCATATTCTCTTTTGTCATCTTCTCAAGTTGGTTGTAGACATATTTCACACTCATCGATGTCTGTGGATTATCCTTCCTCAATCGATCCATAATTAATACCGGCTTCACGTGGCTCCTTCTAAGTAACTTCACGACCTCGTATTCTTCTAGTGTCAAACGACTTTTCGGACCTTGTCCGCTAGGATACGGTAGCATCATGTGAGTGTGGATGCCATCTTTTAAATTCATTCGCCATAGTCCATCGTATCGATTTTTGCTACCGTATAAACAAAACGTACATCCACATTTCTTTGTTTCCACATTTCGTTGTTTCACACCATCGGTTTGTTTTTCACGTCCCTTCCCAGACACATGACATGTAATTAGTACATAAACGTTTTTCTGACTTGAAGTTACTATCAATCGATGACCGTGAGTAGCAGTGGTGTTTTTTTTCCCATACCACTAATTATTCCCCAGTTTCAAACTCAATATCCACATTGAAATATTGGTCGTGATCCTCAGAAGTTGTTGTTGCGTTTTGAGGAACATCATAACACATGTTGGGATTCTCGTACTCGTTCTCATATCCAACAACAAACTCATAGTAAAAATCATCTCAAAATCACCTTCACTGGCCTACCAAAGTATAACAAATAATAATTAGTATATTAATAACAATATGAATTAAAAAAATAATAACAATCAATCGTGTCCTAGAGGACGATCGTACACGATTTCCGTCCTCTAGGGCACGAAAATCCAAGTTTCCATGTTGCAGAGGACGATTGTGTTTTTTTTTTTTAATCTCCCGCGTGGTGTAGCACGGGAACCTCAAATATTTTGAGTTCTCGTGCTACACAACACGATTCCTCCGTAAAAAATATCTTTTTCCAAAATTTCTTCATTTTTTACCTAGTAGAAGTCATTCGAATCGCCCATTATCTTATTTGTTGTTGATGGGCAGTTTGTTTATCAAACAAATTTGAAATTCTCTTTTTTCGACTTTTTTGAATTAAGAGAGTTTTGGGTTTTTTTAGAAGGGGTGATTACAAATAAGCACATCAATGAGTACTTATTCATAAAGAGATCCAGACAAAAATCTCCTTTACCAATAAGTCCACACATGGTCCTGATTTTTGTAAAGGACTAAAATAACCCCTCATACTTTAATATGCTCCAATTTCATCCTTAACTTAATTTAACCTCAATTTGACCCCAAATTTTACAAATTATTTAATTTTGACCCAAAACTTTTTTTTTTCAAATTTTTTTTTCCCGCCGGATTCCGGCATTGACTTTTCAATTTTTTTTTTCTTCCGGATTTTTTCGCCGGTTTCTGGCGTTGACTTTTTCGATTTTTTTTTCTGTAACTTTTTTTTTCGTTTAAACAACAATATTGCTGTGATTGACAGTAATATTAACTATATTACTGTTAAACACAGTAAAAATTAACTAAACTACAGTTTAACACAGTAATATTGCTATATTAATCTCTAGCACAATAATATTAACACAACCAAACTCATTATTATTGTATAATAGAGTAATATTACTATGTTGACCGTTCAACAAATGTAAACATAATAAAAAGCCAAAAGAATTAATATTACTGTGAGTGACAGTAATATTACTATAACAACAGTAATATTACCGTCAACCACATTAATATTACAATAATAGACAGTAATATTATTACGTTACTCCGTGAATAACTCAAACAAACAAAAAAATCCAAACAAAATAATAATATTGATGTGGTTGACAACAATATTACTATAACAACAGTAATTTACCGTCAACCACAGTAATATTATTGTGTTTACAGTAATATTACAATAATAGACAGTAATATTATTACGTTACTCCGTGAATAACACAAACAAAACAAAAAACCCAAAAAAATAATAATATTGATGTTGTTGACAGTAATATTATTGTGTTTACAGTTATTGTACTGTCAACGACAGTAATAAAATTACGTTAACTTGTCAACAAATAAAACAAAATAAAAAAAAACAAAAAATAAAAAATAATAATATTACGTTAATTTACTGTCAACGGCAGAACAATTACATAAATGTATTGTCAACGGCAGTACAATTACGTTAATTAACTGTCATTGACAGTATAATTACGTTAATTTACTGTCATTGACAGTATAATTACGTTAATTTACTATCAGTGACAGCACAAGTACGGTCAACGTTTAGCGGCGGACGTAAAAAAAAAAAAAAAAAAAAAAAAAAAAAAAAAAAAAAAAAACCTTCAAAAAACACTAAAAAAGTCAACGCCGGAAACCGGCGAAAAAATTCGGAAGAAAAGAAAAGAAAACAGAAAAAAAAATTGAAAAGTCAACGCCGGACTCCGGCGGCAAATTTTTTTTTGAAAAAAAAAAGTTTTGGGTCAAAATTGAATAATTTAGGAAATTTGGGGTCAAATTGAGATTAAATTAAGTTAAGGATGAAATTGGATATGCTCCTAAAAAAAGTCAAAATTGAATTTTTGTGGTCACAATTGGATTTTTGTGGACAAAATTGATTAAATTGGGGTTACAATTAAAAATTGAGTATAATTGGTTGAGGGTAATATTGGCATATATATGAATATTTTCTTTATTTATAATAAATATTAAAGGGATGCACTCATTGGTGAAAGATATATAGCCCTAAACATAGAATAATAAAGATGTTTGGTTGAGAACTTATGCACAAAAACCCCTTTTTAGAAAATTGGAAAAAAATGAAATGAGACTACCGCTGCAAATAAACCAATTTAAGTAAAAGTATAACATTTCAGTTGTTTTTCATATAAAAATGGAATCAGTTTCTCTCTAGTGAATATTGTAATTCCCGTTTAAAATATTGAAAAGCAAACGCGCCCTTATTTTCTCTCGACCCAAGGTTGGCGGGAGTTTCCTATTCAATAATTTCCAATATTCCAATTTCCAAACCCCAGTCGAAGATCTCTTCAGCAGAACCCTAAGATGCGTCGGAAAGAAGAGGCGAGCCAGCAGCAGCAGCTGAACGCGGCGAAGAGGGCGTACAATGCCGCCGAGGCGGAGGGGCACCGGCAGGAGGAGGCGCGTTGGGCCAACGTCATCGGAGACATACTCAAAAACCGCGGCGAGTACATCGAGGCTATCAAGTGGCTGCTCAAGGACTACGAAATTTCTCAGAGGCTACCGGATAAGCAGCTTCTCCCCACGTGTCAGTCCCTCGGCGAAGTTTACCTCCGCCTCCACAGATTCCGTGATGCCCTAATTTATCAGGTGATTGAACAAACGTAATTTTAATTAAAAATTAATCATGCTTGATTGTAATTGAGCACAATCGATTGCCTTTCCCCATCTTAATTACACGGTCTAATTACTCTTTAACAAAATGACTTTGTAAAATATTTAATTCCTGCTTATTTCGATGTGTTTGTTATGGCAGAAGAAGCATTTGGAGCTTGCCAAAAACGAGAAGGACCTCGTCGAGGAACAGAGAGCTAATACTCAGCTCGGGCGAACTTACCATGAAATGTTTTTGAAGTCCGATGATGACCATTGCTCGGTTCGAAGCGCCAAGAAGTATTTCAAGCAGGCCATGAATCTTGCACGGACCGTAAAAGAGTATCCACCTTCTCATAAAGTTTCTTTTATTAAGGAGTATGTTGATGCTTACAATAACCTCGGGATGCTCGAAATAGATCTTGATAATTTGGAAGAAGCGGAGAAGATTCTCACTATAGGGTTAAAGATTTGCGATGAAGAAGAGGTCGACGAAAACGACGATACACGTAGTAGGCTCCATCATAACCTTGGAAATGTTTACTTGGAGCTGAGGAAATGGGAAAAAGCCAACGAACACATACGAAAGGATATCCATATTTGCAAGCAAATCGGTCACCGTCAAGGAGAGGCGAAAGGGTATATTAATCTTGGCGAGCTGCACTACATAAATCAGAAATACGACGAAGCTATTGCATCCTACCAAAAGGCATTTGATCTGGCAAAATCATTGGAAGACGAGTCTGCATTATCAGATCAAATTGGTGCTAATATTAAAACTGCAAAGGAAGCGGTTGTAGTGATGAATGAACTGAAAAAGGAAGAGCAGAACCATAAGAAGCTTGAAAGGAACACGGAAATGGCTAGAGGCACAGAAAGTGAAAGGAATTGTCTGTTGAAACAGAATGCATCGCTTGATTGCCTTGTCGAGAAATCAAGGCTGATTTTTGCATGGCTAAAAGTACGTGACGCACTACACTTATTGATTCTCATATATAGATTTTTAAGTTGTTCCCTACTGATAAAGTATGAACGCCTTATAACATATACTAGAAGCAGAAGCGTCTGTGACACATAACTTCTGTTTTTGGTATAGAAGTAAATGTACATGAATTTCTAAGAAAGATATCTGAACGATTCCTTCTTTGTAATTCTCTCTCTATCAAGATATTGACATTATTTCACGGTTGAATTTTGCTTAGCTTAAAGATTATGGAAAAAAGAAGAAGAGGATAGCAACTGAACTTTGTGATAAAGAAAAGTTGAGCGACTCTTTTCTATTCATTGGAGAGGCATACCAGAAGCTACGGAGATTTGACAAAGCCCTTAAATGGTACAAGAAGTGCTTAGAAACCTACAGTTTGATTGGACACTTGGAGGTGATAAAATTTATGCCTCCTGATTATGTTTTCATTTTCAGTAGGAGAAAATTAGAATTTATCAATATTTTTCAATAATTTTATTATGTTGTAGTTGGTAAAATAGTTTTCACGACTCTAATTATCTTAGTTAGAAACAAAATACTGTGGAATTGAATTTGTTAAGTACCTTGATTATAGGGTGGTTTTGTGGACACTTGTTTTCTAAAAGATGGTGATTTTCAGGGCCAAGCAATGGCAAAGATTAATATTGGAGACATTTTGGACTCGATAGGGGATTGGGCAGGTGCTTTAAATGCTTTTAAAGAGGGGTACATGTAAGTACTTTTTCTGCCGATTACTTGTTGCTTGTTTAAAATTTATCGTTCACTAGATTTATGCTTTTCTGTGACAATCGATTTTTTCTCCTTCTTTTATGTTGGCTAAGTTTCCTCCCCTTCTCCATAATCTCTCTTATTAACAAGTCGAAACTGCTCTCTTGAATTCCTTAGCATGCACTCATTCTGCGTGTTTGGTACTCTATCTGAGATGAGAACTACCTGTTTTGCATGCTTTAAGTAATCATTATCTTAGACAAGGTAGGATCTATTTGATCTTTGCTAAAGATGTTATTCTTTCCACAGGATTGCGGTTAATGGAAACCTGACTTCCTTGCAGCTTTCTGCTCTAGAAAATATGCACTACAGTTACATGATTCGCTTTGATGAAGTTGACGAGGCCAGGTAATTCGCAGTTTCATTCCATTTTGACGATTCTGTACAGAAGCCAGGAAAAAAATAGCTCTGTGAGATTGACCTCAGAGTGACACTCTTCTTTCTAGTTAATGATTTTGTGCATTCAATAATCTCGGGACACTTTCCAGGAGGACAAAATCGTTAATAGATGAATTAAAGCAATCGCAAAATGCAAAGCTCAAGCCTGAAGGTAATTTAGGGAACTGCTGTTCTGAGACTAAAACAGAGTTGGATAACCTATCAGCAGATGAAAGATCGGACGGTAGCTTTTCATCAAAGAAATATAAACCAAATCCATTGGGATTAAAAGAACCTAGTGATAGTGATGATGAGTTGAATGAAAACATACCACTGGTATCGCTACTTCGATCTAATAAAAATACGGCAAAGCAGAGAACTGCGTGCCAAATAGCACCGAATGCTTGTTCCAAACCATCTCTATCTCCTATAAAGAGCATATCCAGATCCACTGGTAGTTGTACAGTTAACCGTAAGCGTGGACGAATTATCCTTTCTGATGATGATAGTGAAAATGAAGAGGAACTTTCCTCTAGAAGAATGGTTCATAACGGTCCAAGGGAAGGCATTGCAACTTCTGATGAATGTAAGCTCCACGTAGTGTTTTTTCTTTTCTCAACACTTATTTATTGAATGGAGAACATTGAACCTTGTCTGTTATGTTGCAGTAAGCAGAAAATATGCCAGTAGTCCAGTACATGAAGTCCAGGTGATAGAATCTTACAACTTAGAATATGTCTGAAATATACCATTTCCGTGACAATGATAGCTTATGTTTGGTCTTATGTTTCTATAGGATGCTTCACCTGTTGCCTCGAAATGTACACTCGCTGCTTGCTCTCTCAATCTTGAGAATAGTGCATGTTCATACAAATCAAGGAGTTCTAAATTAGGCTTGCACGACGGTACAGATTATAGAGTTACAGATACACATGAAGCTGTGGGTAATTCTAACAGTATCTATGCTGGCTCGTGCCACCTATTTCCAGAAGCATGTTGTGATGAAGCTTGCGTGAGTATGATTAGAATAACATAAAAGAATTATTTTCAGTGTTCTATTTTAGTTTCATGCTGTAATTTTGTTGTATTGCAATACTATTCTGGATAAGAAAGCTTGGCATATGTGTTTCATATAACATATCGTATGCTTCTTTAAATGATTTAAGTCTGTATAACTAGACTGAATTTTGACGAAGCCGACAGTCAATTAATCAATAGTATTTGTGTTTCACTTAGTAATATCTCATGTTCTTCAAAGATGGTTATTCAATGCGATTATTTAGCTATGATGTGTTATCACAAACATGCTTTTTTGCTAACTTCTATTCTTGGTGTGTTGCAGCAACATATAATTTTCAAAATTGATGAAGAACTGGTGCGTATGGACCTAAGTTTATGTGGTGTTGGTGATAAACTAGACATAGAACAGATGAAGGTTGAGTTGGCATGCCTGTATTATTTACAACTCCCCAGAGAAAAGAGATCGAGAGGTAGGCATAAACTGTTGTTTCTTGAATTGGTTTTTCCTCCTCTTGAGCCGCTAATATTAGTGATGTCAGCAGGATTGGTGCCAGTCATTCAACACATGAAGTACGATGGGAGAATTCTTGAATCTATTGAAACATTAAATAGCTTAAGAGACAATGCACCAGGAAATGGCCGGGTTGAGGTTTCCGTTAGTGGTATAATTTTAAGCCCCAGTGAAGCTTTTCTTAATAGCTGAGTTTTTTATTTTCATTTGTATTCAGGAATTCACCTATCTTAATTGATTCTCACTTTTTTCACCAGTGATGGTGACAAAACATGTCATGAAACTCTACATTGACTGCTGTGAGGAGCTATCTGAATCACCAAATTCGGAAGTTGTCCGGAAATTGTATAACTTGGACGTAAGCTTTATATTCATTGTGGTCTACATATTGCTGGATTGATTAGTTATTTGTGTTTTTCATAGTTATGACATGATCTCTGCTTTTACTGATATAAAAAAAACTATCATTTTCTTGATGAATTATTTAACAGGTCTCGGAGGATGAAATTGTAGTGTCTGATTGTCAACTAAGAGATGTATCGGTAGCACCTTTGTTGAAAGCTCTACAACTGCACAAAACACTTGCTCTCTTGGACCTTTCTCATAACCTATTAGGTAGTGATGATTATGTTTGCATATTTCTTAAGTGAACCATCTTTTAATATACCAAAAATATGTTCCCAGGCAGTGATTATCTTAAGACAAATTTGTTCTAGTTTTTCATTTTTTATTAATTTTGATTTTGCAGGAAATGGTACCGTCGAAAAACTCAAACAAGTATTCATATCATCAGGACAAAGTTATGGTGGTCTGGTTCTAAATTTGCACAGTAACCGACTTGGTCCAGCTGCTTTATTTCAGGTGGTGATTTTTTTTTACTGTCAAGCAAGTCTCTTTTTACAAATTTAAAAATTCTTCTAATACTGCAACTAAATATATTTCTCCTTATGAAGAAGAAATGGTGCCAATGAACTGAGTTTTTACAATTAAAAACATTGACAGTCGTTAAAATATACAAAATTTCTCGTTACGTTTTCTGTTTCTTAACAAGATTTGTAAGTGACACATTCAGGGAAATAGTTTTAGTGGGCTGCTGGGCCTTCTGTGCTACTTGTGCATGGATAGAAAATTCATTTCTCATAAATGGCATCCTCCGTCATTTTTCAATTACTATATCGATAATGACAATAATAATAGAAATAGCATGTTTACTGTAGAAATAATCGAGAATAAAGTCTTCATTCTCTACTTCAAAGAGAAGTGTTGGCTGTTAATGGATGCATTTACGCATGAGCTAACTGATCCTGATTGGCTAAAAAAATTATATTGTTTTTTTCAATTCTAAATTAAAACAACGTTGATTTCTGGTCAGAAGATAACCTTCACTCCAAGAAAAAAGAGTTACGGAAGAATGCTGTTATATCTTTTTTCTATATGCCTGATAGATATGTAAGAATTCTCAGTTATATCTTTTGCTAAATGCTTGGAGGTTGAAATACTTATTAATTCATGTTGGAAGCAGTTAAATTGATATAACTGTAGTAGAGATCTGTAAACTTCAAAACTCAATAAAGAATAAATATTTCAAGGATTCATTTTGTTGGACTTTAGTCTTCACGATTTTGTCGCCATGCCGTAACTTTTTCAAGTGGTAAAATGACATGACATATCTGGAATTCCTGTTAAATATTTCGCTCTTCCTTCGGCAGATTTGTGAATGCCCAGTACTCTATGCTCGATTGGAAGTTCTCAACATCTCTGGAAACTGTTTGACTGATGCCTGTGCATCTTACCTGTCAACTATCCTTCGAACTTGCAAAGGTGAAACCTCTATACTTGTTACTCATTCTTATATTCACTATATTTTTCAAAATTATATCATAATGCTGTTGCTTAGTCAAATTTTAGTTTTTAATTTTTAAAAGAAAAACTATGAAGCTGGTAGTCTATTGAACTTGAACCGAATTAGATGAACTCATAGTCTTTGCAGTGGATGTTTTGACAGTGTCCACTTGTTCATAAAGAAGTTCTCTGTTTTGCAGCTCTTTATAGTTTGGACATAGAGAATTGTTCAATCACTTCAAGAACAATTCAGAAGGTTGCTGATTCACTGGATTCGGATTCTGTACTAACACATCTTTGTATAGGTAGCTTCTACCTAAAAAATATGACTTAGTTGCAATTCTACGATCTTCTTTGTCTATACAATAACAATTTCGAAATTATATTTTTTTTCGCTGAACAGGACGCAATCACCCTGTATCTGGAAATGCATTGATTAATCTTTTCCTCAAGCTTGCCACTCTAAACCGGTCAATAGTTTATGAAATGTTATTCCTACTTTGGTTTTTTTAATATTTCAGTGGGATGTGGATATCAAACTGGTTATTTTCGTCTTATAGGTTTCAAGAGCTTAATCTAACTGGGATAAAGCTAAGCAAACCTGTGGTTGATAGCCTTTGCCAACTTGCCAAAGACTGTTGCTTGTCCGGATTGCTGCTTGGAAATACTAATATTGGAACTGTGAGTTATTCATTTACCCAATTTCTGTAAACTCGGGGTTCTTTTTTTATTTTTTTCGAGAAAAATAGATCATTTGTTTGTTTTTAGATGATACGAGATAAACAAGCTAAGTTGCCAAACTATGTAATCCTTTGTCTAGTCGAATCTATTTCCTTTGTCTTGCATTGATTTGGCTAGTTCATCTCTACTGCAATATAGTTTTACATATTTTGAACTACAAACTTATGGTAGATGCAAATTTCTCTGCACCAGTGATTTTTGTGGTGAATATAATTATGCGAGAATGCTTTTTCAGGAAGGTGCAATACAGTTGATTAAACCATTATCAAAGGATACAGGGGAATTGGTCAGGCTTGATCTATCATTCTGCGGACTTACTAGCGATTACATTGTTAGGCTCAGAGATGAAGCTCCTCTGATTAGTGGAATTCTCGAGTTGAATCTTGGTGGAAATCCAATCATGAAAGAGGTTTGTTTCATTTTATTTGTCAAATAAGCATGTGAAAGCATCTAGTATGAATGTATGATTCATTTTCTTCAGTCATGTTATTCTCTTAATAGCCAATGCCCAATCACCTCTCTAGCCTTGTTGCACGTTAGGAGGTTATGAATTCATGATAAATGCGAGCACACCTCGCCTTCTAGCGCCAAATTTTGTTTTTATTTGTTTTCTTCCCGACTTCAGTCATACTTTGACGATTGGCCCATTGTTTATGTACTTCATGTATTATTTACCAGTGTCATCCTAATTACAAGATATGCAAAATAACTCCTTATCATTCTCTAAATGGAAAATTAGTTCTTGCTTCTTGTTCTTTTGGTTTGAGTTTGAAGGTTGGTTTTGTGCATCTTCGAGTTCTTTTTGACAGAGTATTTATGTGAGACGTTGTGAATTTCTTTTATGTAGTTCTCGTTTAGTGCATATTTTCTAAAGCTATCACTTTGTCCTTTCACTTGTGTGCATCTAGGGGGATTTCCGTCACATTAGTTCGAACCATTTTCATATAATATAAATATACGGAGGACTTGTGATACTTATTATTTCTGTCATTGTGTTGCATTGCCATTTATCCTTGTAAAAACCCTAAAAATGAAGCACAAATACAGGGTTGCATGGAATTGGCATCTTTACTCAACAACTCTCTATGTTGTTTAAGAATTCTGGTCATCTGCAAATGCGAACTCGGTTTTGCTGGTGTCGTCGGCATACTTCAAGCACTATCCAAGAATTGCTCACTCGAAGAACTCAACCTGTCGGAAAATATTGGTCCAGACGAAACTAAATCTCTAACACACGACTTAGAATTGATTGACGAAACCTCAAACCCTTTGTTGAATGCTCTAGACACAAACGAGAACGAGCTTGAGGTTGCTGATAGTGAAGATGAGGTGGCAGAGGCAGAAGCTACAAAAATATCTGGTTTGGAAGATTGTCACATTTACACATCCCAAAAAAAGACTATTTTAGAATGCCAGCCCATGCAAGAGCTTTCTGCTTCGATTAAAATAGCAGGGAACTTAAAACTATTGGATCTTAGCGGTAACGGGTTCTCTGCGGAAATTACAGAGATGTTATTTTCTGCATGGTCCTCGGGTGATAGGGCTGATGTGGCTCAGAGACATGTCGACGGAAACACGCTTCATTTTTCGGCGCGAGGAGGAAACAAGTGCTGTGGAGTTAAGTCATGCTGCAGAAAGATTTGAGTGAGTTGTGTTTTCTCTCTCATGAAATAATTTACGAGAAGCTCTACCAAACGATGTAATGATCGCTTGAATATTGGACCAGAGATGAAGGTTTTGTAATTAAGTTAGTGAAGATGAGAGTTGAATGTAATTTACAATGCCTGGTTTTATAAATCATGAATATTGCATTGCCACCCTTTGTATGGTTGGTTTCGTTTCATCGTGTTGAATGACCATCTCAATCAAAAACTTAAGCTATTAGTGAAATGTATCATTGAATATTAATATCTCCAATACATCGAATTATATTTTACAATACACGTGTATTATAGATTCATGCATATTTTTCACATGTTTACATGTACGTGTGTATGATTGTATGTAAATTAAATATGGCATCCAGTAGAGCATTATATAATGACATTAGCTGTTCAAGCATGTTGTATGATGGCATATGATTGACATATTCATATCGTCATGCACTATATATATATATATATATATATATATATATATATATATATATATATATATATATATATATATATATATATATATATATATATATATATATATATATATATATATATATATTTTCAATTGATGTTCTTAAAATTGTATATATGTAATTACATGTTTGTATGCATTTACGAACATTGGTGCTAAAGAAGTAAATTTGACGGAATACATTGGAATTTCGGTGATATTTAATTTTTGTAGTAAAAACTAATCCCAATTATGTTGCGAAAAAGAAGAATGAAAAAAAAAATGAAATTTTGGAAATTAGAATAAAAAACTTGTTTCAAACTTTAAATATCTTTTTTTGGATCGGAGCTTATATTGGGGATTTTTAAAATTATAGTCACCTATAAAATAAAATATATAATAATATTCATATTATAAGTGCGGTGTTCAGAATTTTTTTTTTTTTTTTTTTTTGAAATTTTCGTAAATGAAAACTGGATTGAAAATTGAAATATAATGTGCGTTCCAATTTCGTAAAACAATCCGGATGTATCAGAACTTGTAATTTTCGAAAATTGGAAGAAAAGAATTGTTCCATAATCGAAAATCCTCGGATCAGCATCGGCTCGAATTAAAAATCTCATTCTAATTTACAGTCCTAATTGGTGCGATAGAAAAAGGATGTACTAGTTTTCAAATACATTGAAGCCCAATTAAAAAATGACAAGTTTCAAGTAGAGAAAAGGATATACTAGTTTTAATCATAGAAAACAAAGACTCGTGGATGTAATAGTGAAATGATTAGGTGTTACAATAATTACAAGTAGTTAAAGAGAAAATCAACTTTATACCCTAAAAAATAATGAGATTGGTCTTTTCTTACTTTTGCTTTCATTTTAGAAGCATAATATATATACCAAGAAAAGAAGATGAACATCATCATCACATTCACGCATGTTTCAACCTCGATTTTGGCCCTTAGAAGCTCCGTGGGGTATATCTACAATCACCAAACGATAACCAAGCTGCCTTCAGTTGAGTACGTAAAACGAGTCTCCAAATTTTATTTTAGAGATTAGGAATGACAAATGTACGAGTTTGGCGGGTTTTAGACTCACAACTAGACACTGCCACGGGTCCGGGTCCCAGAATAGGGGAACTGACACCGATTGTGTACAGGGCCGGTTTTGAGGGAAGGCGAAGTAGGCGGTCGCCTAGGGCCCACGGATTTTTACAAAAATTTAGGGCTCCCAAATTACTTTATATACACTTTATATATGAATATTTTTTTTATATATTTATTATATATAATATTTTGAAACATCAATTCTAAAATAACTTTAAACTAAATGATCAATAGATATTTTTACAATTTTCTTAACTTTGGGGCCCCTAAATACTAAATTTATAATGTCTTAGTTATTTGTTTTTCTACCTAAAATAAAAATCAATATTCATTAGTGTATTTAAATTTTGTAAATATTTATGAAGTCTATTTGCTATAAAGATTATACGTCACGGGACGAATTAAGGGAACTAGCAAATCCTCGTTATTGTTTATTCCATCATTTTTAAAAAATACTATGTATATGTTTTTAGTATATTTAATTTCGAACTTCCTTTGATAAAATTATTTTGTCAAATAAGGGGTCCCGTTTTAAGTTGTTCTTTAAATCTCGCCTAGATCCCCGAATTCTCAAGAACGGGCCTGATTGTGTAGAACCACACGGAACCACTGCTATCAGTTCCGTGTTAGGTACTACAGTACATACGTAATATTTATATTTTCAATTGTTTTTTTCGCATTCAATTATATAGTAATAATGAATAAAAATGTAATACAAAATCTAAAGGAAAAAAAAACCATAAACAAGTAAAGAAAATAAAAAAGATAAAGATAAAGATAAAAATACAAACTATTTTAATATGAAAGAATTTACCATTAAATGATGGTCTACCTATTTATTTTAGCAATGGTATACTAGCAGTATTGACACTACTAGTATTATCAAATGAAATTTAAATACCTTATCAAGTAAACTAAATTCTTCTAAACCTAAATTCAGTGCAATTCTATGTAAGTTTTCGTGGAATTGGACTAGCGCATGATTTTTTTTTTTTTTTCATAAATTAGTGAAAATATTTTTTTTTGAAAACTTAATGAAAGATGTACTATGGCAACTAATCTAGTCATTTCTTCTTTTAATTTTAAATCAATGTATTAAAATAAATTAAATTCACCATTCTTCAGCTTGGGTTTATAGGAGTCGGTTCCATAAGTAGGCATTTGCTTTTGAATGCGATCAGTGCCAAATTTACCGGATCAAAGATATGCATGCAACCACCCCTGACCACTTCCACTTGTCAGCAATCTATACAAAATAAAAAAAAAAATACAAATAATAAATAATAATACTATTACTAATTTTAGATTAAAAATAAAACATAATAAAATTTACTAGACAATATTTGCACTTCGCTTGCATATCTTCGGGTGGAAGTGTCACTTTGTCGAATGCTGGACAAAAGTATTAGATTTATATTTGCCCTCTTTGCTACTTGGTTCTAGAGTATTATGTATTCTAGAACCCGAAGCTGCATCAGTGTCGTGGCTGGAGCCAGAATATCATCGCAACCATCACTCAAAATCAATGGTCAAGATCAAAATTATCAATTCAATCTTAGCCGTCCAATTCAATTTCAAATTAGAGCATTTCATTTTTACAAAAATCCAGTTTGAACCGCCGGTTGGCGGGTTATGGTATTTGTGTACACGAAGAGTCCGGTTCATGGACTCGTTGTGCTATTGTGTTAAGCTAACTTTAAGTCTCTTGATTTAAATTTTGTTTGACTTTAAGATATGCTAACTTTAGGCCATGAAACAGGGAAGATATTGAGGAACATCAAATGACATTAAAAAGCTGTCTATTTTTGATAAACATAGTCAAAATTAGGTGGAAATCATAGTCAAACATGACACACCACCACGGTCACATTTCATAAAACGGATAGAAACATTAACTAAAAACCGTGTCAGATTTGACCCATCCATACAAGTTTTTTCGGGGCAACTTTTTTTTGGTGTTGTTTTTAAAATGGGGTTGTTTTGGGGAGTGTAACCGAATTAGGGTTGGACGCCACCCACCACGGCGACACCGGCAGGAGACGCCAGTTCCAACGGCGTCTCCGTATAAATATTTAATATTTTAAATATTTATATTAATATTTTTATATTTTCTGATTTTTAATTTTTTTTACAAAATAAAACATTAATGTTAGTATTATTTATTACATTTTATATATTTTCTCCATTAGTGTTAAATTAATCATTGCTTATATTTATCTAATCAACACAATAAAATAGTGTACAATCTTAAAAAACATGTAGACAAAAACAAAAGAAGTTCTACAAAATAAAAGAGTTATATAAAATAAATAGGTCCAAAATGAGTAAAAATAAAATAAAATTGGCACTTCAGTGCCCCCCACACACACACACACACACACACACACATATATATATATATATATATATATATATATATATATATATATGCATTTGCTTGTTATTTTATATTTTTTTTTTCAAATTACTCAAAAAACCAATATACATATTTTACAAACATCAATAAACAACACTCTTGATTTTTTTTTTATTAGGGTATTTGAAGAAATTAACACAAAATAGGTACATATTTCTAAAATTTAATCAAATTATAATAAATTAATCTAAAATATGATCATTAAAGTTACACCAGAAAATATAATTTCATACTTCAAACTGCCACTATTAATTGGTCAAATTTTGCAGTACGATTTCTTCCCTTCCAGTTAGTACATTCTATTGAATTTTATAAAAAAAATATTAATTTATTGGAAAACCAAAATGCAAAAACAAACAAGATTGTACACTATTTTATTGTGTTGATTAGATAAATATATGCAATGATAATTTAACACTAATGGATAAAATATATAAAATGTAATAAATTTAATACTAATATTAATGTTTTATTTTGTAAAAAAAAATTAAAATTCAGAAAATAGTAAAATATTAATATAAATATTTAAAATATTAAAATATTAAAATATTAAAATATTAATATTTAAAGAGAAGACGCCGTTGGAGCTGGCGTCTCCTGTCGGTGGCGCCTCCTGCCGGTGCCGCCCCCCATTTTAAAAACTACAATCTAAAACAACACCAAAAAAAAAAAAATTGCCCCTATCATGTTACTTATGTCATTAAGATATCCTAAAATTCCATATATATATATATATATATATATATATATATATATATATATATATATATATATATATATATATATATATATATATATATATATATATATATATGTGTGTGTGTGTGTGTGTGTGATATTTTTGTGCACAAGTCTTCAACCAAGCATCTTTATTATTCTAGGTTTAAGGATTCTATCTTTTTCACCAATAATCCCATCCCTCTATTATTTATTATAAATAAATGAAATATTCATGTATATGATAATATTACCCCCAACCCTTTATACCAAATTCTTAATTGTAACCCCACTTTAATCAATTTTTTTCACAAAAATCCAATTTTGACCACAAATGTCCAATTTTGACTTTTTTTTTGCAAAAATATTTTTTTGCCGCCGAATTCCGGCGTTGACTTTTCGATATATATATATATATATATATATATATATATATATATATATATATATATATATATATATATATATATATATATATATATATATTATTTCTTTTTTTCTCCTCCACAGATTTTATCGACGGATACCGGCGTAGATATTTATATATATCTATCCCCGCCCCGGA